GTCTAAATTACTTTTTCATTTTTTCTCAGAAGTGGAAATGGGCTTTAATATGTTTCCCTGTGAGGAACCTCAGAAGATTATTTAATCTGACACAGAGACGCTGAGGAATCAGGATAAACCACAATCCCAGCATAGAGGGGTTCAGTGAATGTGGTGTTGAATGTGTGTAAGTGTGTGAGTGTGTGTGTGTGTCAGAGACGCTGTAGAAAGACAACGTCCAGATAGACACCTACTCTATTAGAGGGGGGTGAAGGGGCAGGAATGTCAGTGCTCTTATTATTGTGCCAAAAAGTGTACATCTTATCACAACAGAAAAGACTCCAGGACTTTTCATTGCGTCCAAACCGACAGTCACTCCCTTCTTTCCTGTTGATTTCTTTATATGCCACTGCTACATGACCTGAGCCGCTCCATTCAACCTCCCAGTAACAGCGTCCAGTCAGATTCTCTCCACACAGAACCTGTGACCTGAGCCGCTCCATTCAACCTCCCAGTAACAGCGTCCAGTCAGACTCTCTCCACACAGAACCTGCTCATGGTGATCAAATCTGTCTGGATGATCAGGATACGGCTGCTTGTCTTTGACATATTTCACAGTTATGTTGTCACTATTCTCAGACAGGATGAGTTGAGTGTGTGCTGTGTTTGAATCCAGTGTGAGATCACAGGCATCTGAACACAAAAAAGTTAGATGAGAACATCTATGACAACATTAATTATGCACAAGTGTGTACTTGTCTGTGTGTGAGGACTTACATTTTCTCAGTCCTGGTGTGATTCTGAAATGTCCTCCATGGTCCAAACCAAGGTTATTTTCGTAAACGAAAACTAAAACTAAGATGAAAACGATTAATGAAAACACAATTTCGTAAACTGAAATAAAATAAAAATGGCAAAATAATTCAAAAACTAACACGAAACGAAACTAACAACAGTTATTGAAAAACTAACTGTAATAAAATAATAATTATCAAAAATAAATAATCGTTTTAGTAATCATTAAGTTCTCACCCCTTGGCGGAAAAATATATGAGCTGTGTGGCGCCGGAACTCCACAGTTACTGCCTTTAAATAAAGCAGCAGAACATCAGTGTGTGTGGCTCATCATTGACTGAAGCACAAGCTCTACTCTCCAGCACAATGGTGACCTACAAAACTACATTAACAGATCTCTCTTGTGCAAAAACACATTAACCCTTTAAACCCCACAACGAAATCCTTAGTTTTAAATGAACACTTATAATGTGTCCACACTACAGAGTGAAGCAGTGCTGAAGTTAATGAGATAATTCTGTGATTAATTAAGTGATGATTGTGCATTAGTGATGAACAGCTGCTGTTAACAAGCAGAATCACTGAAGAAAAGAGAGACACAAGAAATACAACTGACTTCAGCCACAGCCTTAGATGATATCAACTGAAATAAAAGACATTAAATCTCTCAAGATCTGATTAAACAACTTGTAAAACAGCATCACCAGCTTCACATTACTAACCAGACTGATGCTATTTCTGTCAGATGTGTACAGAAGTGCTTATTGAAAATTAACAGAGGTTTAGATGTTGTTGTTTTGGGACACTACCATGATGGAGATCAGTGTTTGCTTTAGTTGGGATCTTGAACCTTGATTTTTTTATCGTTATCTTTAATTGGTTGCTTTAACTGTTGTGTTTTTCAACACCTTTGTTGTGGTAAAAAAGGGCAAAAGCACAATATGTAATGCTGATGGTTGTGATTCGCGAGTGGCGTAACCATCTGTAAAAACCGGTTCACTGATTTTGTTTTGAGTTTGTTTTTGTACCAAACCGATGTTATGGTAACATATTAGAGCAAAAGAACAAGCAGGCTATTATGAAATATCACGCACATCACTCAAAAAAAAAAAGCTCTATTATGCTATGAAACACACTCATGAAGAATCAGCGTATGAATCTCAACAATGGTCACAATCAAAAAAATTAATAAACAGATCGACTCTGAACATCACAAAACACGCTACTAAAACTCAACACAAAAACAAAAGCAAAAATAAAAGCACCTAGTAAGAATTAAAGAAAATAAGTTTACAATTCAACAGCATAATTTATTCATGCCGCAATGCATGCTGGGAGTCATGGATGAGTTTTCTCCTGTGCTGGTATCCAGCATGCATTGCAGCATGAAGCTTTTGATTGTCACCATTGTTGAGATTCATACGTTGATTCTTGATGTCTCTGTGTGTCTGAGCGATGCCATGGTTTTAAAGCCTTCGAAAATAAAAAGTTTTCACGATCCATCATATTTGTCTATCATCTCAGCTTGCAGGGTCATATAGCTATTGTAAATAACATGAAACCAGTGAAAACCCACACTATAGTTCTAAAGATCAGCCACTGAAAGAGATCAGTGAATCAGGCCACAAAATGATGATAACACTAGCATCAATAATTAACCATTTAAGCATAATTTTTCTATGCTTTTATTGCTGTAACAAATGTGCTTTACAAACACAGATACAGCAACCAGACAAGCTAGTGTTAAAAAGTGAAGGGTCAAGAGCCCAACTAAAGCAAACACTGATCGCCACGATGGTGAGGTCAAACAAAACGTGTTCAATAAAACATCTAAACCTCTGTTAATTCTCAAATAATTTGTGTAGATATATGACAGAAATAAAGTCAGACTGTAATGCTGTGTGTGGAGTTGTTTGATCATGTTCTGCTGTCTTATTTCAGTTGATTTCATCTAAGGCTGTGGCTGAAGTCAGTTGTAGTTCTTGTGTTTCTCTTTTCTTCAGTGATTCTGCTTGTTAACAGCAGCTGTTCATCACTGTCTGAATTCACTCGTCAGTGTTCATTCTCTCTGTCAGGTGGACTGTATTAGTAAACTCATGTAGGGAATAGTGCATGAGGGTGTAGGGTGTGATTTGAAACACAGCCTCTGCGTGTCGACTCTGAACGCTGTTACTACAAGGACTGCAGAAGGATACTTTCTCGACAATAACAAATATTACCCAGAATACATTGTTTTTTTACGGGATTGTACTGTTGTAATGAAAAAACAGGATGTTACTGTCAGAATATGGCCGTTTTTTTACAGCAATTTTTTACAGTGCAGTTGTTCACGGAAAAGTGAGCAAGACACGACAGTTACAATATATTATGATTGTTAAAAAAGAAAAAAGACATCTAACCATCATAACCAAATTAGGCTACATTTATTGTCATATTAAATATCTCAATACACATCATTAGATGACAATAAGCACAACTTGTGTAGATTTATTTAGTAAAAAGGCTTGACTGATTCATTTTGGCGTATATTTGTATACTTTTACCATTTAATCAATCTCAGTATGCGTTAATTTTGTGTCGCTAGACATTTGCATCACTAAGGCTAAATTATGCCTTATTGCCTTTTATGTGTCAGACTCTGTTCCATGTTTTGTCTGTGTCTTGCTCCCCAGGTGTTCCTTTCCCATGTTTAATTTGTCCCAGGTGTTCCCCATGATGGTTCATGGATCCCAGGTGTGTGACAATAAGCACAACTTGTGTAGATTTATTTAGTAAAAAGGCTTGACTGATTCATTTTGGCGTATATTTGTATACTTTTACCATTAAATCAATCTCAGTATGCGTTAATTTTGTGTCGCTAGACATTTGCATCACTAAGGCTAAATTATGCCTTATTGCCTTTTATGCCTAAGTCTTTCTTTGGCCTGCGCTCTGGAAGTGATCTGTTAATTCTGCTAAACTTTAATTAAAACTGAAACTGAAACTAAACTATATAAAAACTAAATAAAAATGCATTTACAAAATAAAAACTAAACTAAAACTAACAACAATATTAATGAAACTAATAAAAACTAAACTGAATTTTATAGCAAATTTTAAAACGATATTAAAATAAAACTAATTAAAAAATTTAAAACCTTGGTCCAAACTGAACAGAGGCAAAAACAAAAACACAAATAAATGCCCAATGAAATGGTTTTACTCTGAAAATCAAATGAAATTATTTATTTATTTGCCTTTTAGTATAAATATGTTAGCCTTAAGGTTATGTATAAGCTAGTATGCTCATAAGTAATGACAAAATGTGCATTTAGAAGATGCAGAATGATGTTTTTGATCCATATTGGTGGTAGAGAGAGACTGCAAATATTGAATGCATAATTTACAGTCTCTATACCACCAATGTGGTTTAAAACATTATTTTGCACTTTTCATCAGCTTCTCATCAGAGTTTGTCAGATTTGTCTGTTTGCTCACTATTTACTATTTAGTGAATGGCACATAATGCACTATATAGTGAATAGGGATTTAATTCAAACAGTGTAAATATGCTTTCCATTTGGGTAAGTGAAGACTGGTTATACATATATACAGTTGCAAGAAAAAGTAAGTGGACTGTTTTCAATTGTCTGCTTTTCTGCATAAATTGGTCATGAAATTTGATTTGATTTTCACCAAAGTCACGAATATCAACAAACACTATATTTCTAAGCTGATAAACACAAACAATCATAATTTTCATGTCTTTATTGAGCACACCCATTAAACATACAAAGTGATGGTGGTGTCACTAAATGCCAATTGGAGTCAGATGTTAGCAAACCAGGAAATTAGAATAAAAGAGTGGTTTAGTGCTAAACTGACTTATATAAAAACCCAAACAGTGTCAGTAACCCAGTATTAAACGGTGCAGCTGTCACACACCAAAAAATGTTTTATTAATTAAATTAAATAAACAAATCACCTGATCTGATGCTTAAATTACTTTCACTTGCAACCTCATGAACATCCACTTAAATCAATAATCATTCATCTGGATGTTCAATTTAGATGTTACTACATAAAACACATTTTAGGTTACCTGACAAAATGTTTTGACAAAACCAATCCAAAACACAGGCAAAAATAAATGCAAAACAGAAAAAGTAACAGTAACATAACACGTTGAGGTAGCAACAAAACAAATTATATGAATCACCCTGAAATATAGCTTTAGCTAACAGCATTTGTTACATAAAAAGTCAATCATGTTAAAAAAGAAAACTGCAATAAAACACATTCTTAAATATCAGTATTAAAATCATTAAAAGGTGATTTTATCTGTATGATATTGAACAGAGAGAAAACACATTGACCAACATTTCCTGACAATCCAGCAGAATGAAACTATGTGGATCCTCTGAAACAGTGACGACATCTACTATAGCTTTTATAAGATCACACCAAATGAAGAAGAGCCCAGAGTGTTTCTACAGACCATCAGCTTTGATTCTGATAATTAAAATAAAGATGAAAGAAGACTGTTGAGAGCTCAAATAAAACCTACTCCCATGCAATTATGGTGCAAAAGGGAAGAAGAGCCAACGCAGCAAATAAGACATCATGACTCAAAGGGGAAAACACTCACAAATAGGCACCTATAACAGGCATACAGATATAAACAATTTTATGCTAATTCTACTCAATATAACAGTACGATTTCCATATCAGTTACATTAACAATTTGACAGAAAATCTGACCAATCACATCTTGTATTTGCACTTATGGAAGTTGTCCTTAATTGCTTATTAAAGGGAAACCTTGTTGATGCCATGAATGCCACTGCAATCCAGAATATCGTACAACTTCAAATTCACAGCCTAGTGCTCCGCATTTAATTGGCTATTTGATTATTAATATCCATGTAAACTGTATGTAGAATCTGATTCATTAATTTTCATTCAATGATGACTTTGTAACTCTAAAGTGGGAATTTCTGTTATTTGTTACTTTCATTGCTTACAATCTAACTTTAAATCTTGGAAATGCAACTACTTCTCATAACTGCAACTTTATATCTCACACTGCAGATTTATATTACAATCTGACTTTATCTCACAATTACAACTCTATTTCTTGCACTTGTGATTATTAATTGACACAATATTGAGAAAGTTGCAATTGAAAGATAATAACCTTTACTTTTCTTTTCTTTTTTTCCCATATGTTTCTCTGTGGTTCTTCACAAGAAATTGTTAAATCTGACACAGAGACACTGAAGATTCAGGATAAACCCCAAATCCAGCATAGAGGGGTTCAGTGAATGTGGTGTTGAATGTGTGTAAGTGTGTGTGTGTCAGAGACGCTGTAGAAGGACAGAGTGCCAGCAGAACAAACAGTCCACATACACTCCTACTCTATCAGAGCGGGATGAAGGACCAGATACATGAGCAGACGATATAGCTAGCTCTGCGCTTCCCAAGGAAGACCTGATGCTCAAAAGGTCTCGTGACCGCAAAACAGCACTCAGCGGCAATGACACGCAACGTCTCTATGCTGGCTGTGACGCAAAGCACATCCATGGATGTCCACAAGTCACAGAACTTGTCACCTAAAAGCCATTTCCCGCTCACCACCATGCTGGCGCCCAAAGGCTGGACCACACAACCCATGATGAGATCCGCAAAGGCCAGGGAGATGATGAAGACGTTGGTGGTGGTTTGGAGCAGAGGGGTGCGAACGATAGCCAAGATGACCAACAGGTTCCCAATCACCTTTTTGATTTAGTTTAATTTAGTCGAGTTAGTTATCCTGTGTATTTAAGGCCCTGTGTTTACTGTGTTGGTCTGTCAGTAGTTTGATGTAGATGTTTGTGTTCCTGCTCTGCATATTCATTGGTTCCTGTTTGGTTTGTTTATTAAATCATGCTGCACCTAGATCCTTGTCGCTGCCTTCCTTCATGGCTCCCTTGTTACAAGGACTTCTCAAGGCAAGCTGCAAAAAAATCCCTTTTAGGCAACCCAAATCACATTCAGACACACATATTAATCATAACTGCCCCACATACTGCAGTTTATAGTTTAGATCCTCCAGTTTGTGGGTGAGCAGCTGGACTCCTGATTTTCCTGGGTGATTGTAGCTCAGATCCAGCTCTCTCAGGTGTGAAGGGTTTGAACTCAGAGCTGAAGACAAATAACCACAGCCTTCCTCTGTCACCATACAGTCAGACAATCTACAGACACATATCAAGAGTCAGATCATCTACAGACAGACAAAGATCATCTACAGACACACACAGATCATCTACAGACACACAGTCAGATCATCTACAGACACACAGACATATCATCCACAC